TCATCACACCCTGCGCACGTTAAAAGATCTATCGTATATAGTCAGGGTTTGCGCATCAAGAAAATTTGCTCGCGTGAAGAGGATTTTGAGAAACACTTACAAGAACTGTCTAGTTGGCTTAAAAATAGAGCATATCCAACATGGCTCATAGAAAGAGAATTTAAGAGGGTCAGGGAATACAATATTGAAGCGGAAAGTAATATACTTAGAGAAAAAAGTTGTAAGACAGGAGTGCCTTTAACTATAGCTTTCCATCCTTTGTTAAAGCACTTTGGTTTGGTAATTAAGAAAAATTTGCATATTTTGTACTTAGACACTGAAGCTCGTAAAGTATTTACCCCTGAACCATTTACGGCGTTTAGAACAAGCCGTAATTTAAAAAGTTACTTAGTTAGAGCTAAGGTACCACCATTAGTAAGAGAGAAAGGATGTAAGAAATGTAATAAACCCAGGTGCTTGACGTGTCAAAATATTCACGAAACCGACACTTTTAGGTGCACAGCTGATGGTAAACAATACAAAGTGAACCATCATTTAAACTGTGACTCAAAGTGTGTGGTTTATCTTTTGACATGTAAAGTGTGTAAGAAGCAATATGTTGGTCAGACGACAGATAAATTCCGCTTTCGATGGAACAATTATAAATCTTGTCAAAGGAAAGCAATGTCCAACAAAGCTCATACACAAGCCTTTTTTCATTCGCATTTCTTAGGTGAAAACCATAATGGCTTAATGAATGACTGTGATATAGTCATAATTGATAAAACCAACCCAGCAGAACCAACGATTAGGGAAATGTACTGGATTAATAGACTTATGACAATGTACCCCTCGGGGTTGAACATTGAACAGGATTCTGAGGAGTATGAATAATTATGTTCGTCTGGTAGGGTACATAAGTAGGGGTTTATGTTAACGATTTTTACTTGGAAGAAGACAATAAAGTCGAAACGTCAAAAAATATGTGTTAGTGATTAACTTATATATATATATATATATATATATATATATATATATATATATATATATATATATATATATATATATATATATATATATATATATATATATGGTTTCGAGTGCAATTTGGGAAAAAACATGCGCGAATGAATTTTTCAAAGACTATCTGAAAATTGAGGAAGTCCGAAGCCGAGTAATTTCAAGTCTTTGAAAAACTCATCAGTGTATGTATTAATTGCAAATGGTACCATGAAAATGTACCATGAAAAAGAAAAAACAAAAGTTTTTTGCGAATATAGGAAAAAGTACTGATCATTAACTGAATTACCATCTGTTTCGGTTAATCAACACAAACATAAAAATTTAGAATCTCATCCATTTATTTGGGGGGGGGGGCTTGTAGTCCCTAGACTCCCCCCCCCTGCCATCGATATTCTATGCCGATTTTGAAACATTTAATACTGCAGTTACTGCAACTATTCGGCTGAAATAAATTTTATCGTATCTAGAAAGGAATAATTTAAATTCTGATATATTATACTAAGAATTTCATGCGATATTAACTGAGCTATCAACGTTTTGAATCAAACAAGCATTTTTGACAATGCTGTAAATTAGCATCAATAGCCTAATATTAAATTTAAATAGTATTCCGTCAAGTTTGATAGATATCGTTTAATTCTGGCCCGTCAAAATAGAACTAATTGATATTTTTGCTTTACTTCTCACGGTCTGTGAAGAAATATCAACAAAATTGTAGGGAATAATGAAAAAGTTAATTTAACGTGTCATTGAAATACGCAATAATTACGAACGAATGATAACTGTTTTGAAATTAGTTTAATAGGCCATTTTATGCTAATTTTTAGCATGGTCAAAAATGCTTGCATATTTGAGTTGAAACATTGACATTTCAGTTAACATCTTATTGTCATTTATTAAAATTTAGGTTAGCCCCTCCTGGATACAATAAAACACAAAATTATTTGAGTGTAATTGCAGCTGTTCTAATTTCCCCGCTATATTAATTTAATTGAACCAAATAATTTTTATTTATTTTTTTGTTTAATTTAATTTCGCCAAAAAAAATGTTAATAATATTTACAAAAGTTTACTAATTCATTATTACAGCAGGGCTAGGGGCCTACTAGGAACCTATAAGGCTTTTGTTTAAGACCCCGAGACTATATTATATTTACAGAAACATTATTTGTTACAGACTAAAGATAATCAGTTCATAATCAGTAAATAAAGATAATTATATGTACAAATAGGACAGTTTATATCAATGCAATTTCCATTTCGTTTTCATTTGATAACAAGTGTTTTTTAATACATGTTTTAAAAGAAGTGTAATGTATGTGTTTTCATGGGAACACCCTGGTGCTAGAATGGTTTCAGGATGTACATATTGAGCCGTATATTTGTTAATGAGCTACCTCGTTTTCAGGGCTTCTCGGCTGCCGAGAACTGGAGAAGCCCTGGGAACGAGGATGCTTAATAAACGACGGTTCAAGACTGCTAAAACCTTTCCTGATAATCGCATATGTATCTAGATTTCAACAACGTTAAAGCGACACATGTATCCACGCAGGGTGTTGCAGGGTAATGTGGTTAAGAGACCTAATTCCACGTTATATTCTGCACAGTTGTTTTCTTCTCTCGGTTCAGCAGGTCCCCATACAGTGTCGCTCACATCAGTCTGATCAAACAACCAACTCCATTTGCCATCGACCTAAATTTATAACGAATTGTAATCGAACAAAAATTGCACGACACGAACTTCGATTTGTACTCTATTACATTCATTTTGAAATCTGAAACAATTTGGCCGGAAACACTCTTCTTGTTTACAGAAGACACCCCCTTCCGATGGTTCCCTCAATTCGAAGTACCGTAATTTCAACTTTCAAGTTTTGACTATCTGCTGTTAAGATTTATGACAAATTCTTTACAATTGTACGATAGTTTCAGTATCCATATTTTTTTTGTTTTTATATGCAAAAAATTGCCTAGGCAGTCACAAGTATTAACTCATGACAAATTGAATTTCTGTATTTTGCTCATTTGCGAATTTGCCATATTACATTTTTCTTAAAATTGATTGGCTGATTGAATCATATAATTAACCCGGTTAGTTGGCCAAGGTTAGCACTCTAATATGATTGGGTGAAAAAGGGATGTAATTTAAGCACTGCTATGAGTGCGATTCGTGCTGCAATCGTACTGCTATTAATAGCCAATCAGATGCGGGAAACACGACTGATTTCAAAATGAATATAATAAATTGTTAAATTGAAACTATATTTGCACTTAGCTAAATATTTTTAAAACCCATTCGTAGTATATATGTTAGTACGTAGGTATAGAGTATAAGCATTGATTCCAACACAAACCAGTGAGTTTTGTTGAACACTGTCAAGAAATTTGGACGAGTGCAAAAATAGCAAAAATATTCCTGAGTATAGCCTCTCGTTTCATGTACGTTGTCCTCTAGATACAACATACAGGCCCATTTTAAGTTCGATTACAATGTGCATGCATAATACAGACACATGAATTATTGTGTGGAGTTTTGCAGTTTCCAAAGGAAACTAATCACACCCCACTTCCAAGTATTAGTTTCATATTGAAATTCCATTATGAAATATTTTCACATATGACAAGTTTCTGTTTTACATGAGACGTTTTCCAATTCCACACGTTGATTTCACATGTAAAATCGTCTTCACATATAAAACATTTAGGCCTACATGTGAAAAGTTCACATCTGAAATGTTCCAATTCCACATATGGATTTAACATGTGAAATCATTATGTGAAATTTCTGTAGGAGTATCCAATAAAATTCAATATATATCTTCATTTGGAACGGGACTATACGGATGATGATGGGAGAGATCCCGGTGGGATGATTTCGTGTTGTGGTGCGGTGCCCAGGAGCATGTAGAAAACAAGTACACCACATGCAAGTGCAAATATATATATGGCCAAAGCTTATGATTCCAAACACTTAAAAAACTAACAGACTAACAGAGTGATAAACTCAAGCAGCGAATCTAAAGAAAGGGTCAATTCACCTCAAGTGTGTATTGTGTATTTCACAATGTCTGATATCACGACTGGGTAATTAAACAAACATGCACATTGCTATATATATATATTGGTTGGCTGGGCGAAAAAACAACACACATGTAACCATGAACTGATCATTTCTTACATATACCAAGACAAAAACATAGATTTTGAGGTATATTATATCTGCATCGCGTTTCCTAACCTTATTATATTCTATTGGCTATATCTAAAACAAAACCAAGCAAGTCATGTCACCTTTTGACGAAGTAGTCGTCAAATAAATGTAATCCTATGATAATCATCTGTACTTTAATTGCGTAACTTGGGCTTAAAAATTAGGTGGTGTGTGGGTTAATTTGCCTGACGAAAGTGTGTTGTCAAAAAGTGATGCAAAGCGGCTGGGCAGATGAATAAAATCGTATATGAGGGTTTCCATGGGTAGCGCAGAAGGCACAAGTATCGAATGCAGATGTCCCAGATAAAAATGAAATTGACAACTTAATTAATGCACTTTGGGGCAAGATTCTACATCATTCGACGTTTATTAATTTAAGATTAACAATGATTAGGATGTATTTTCCCCCAGCGAAACAAAATTGATGGCTGTTCCGTACCATTGGCGGGCGATCACTCCACCCCTCTCTAAATTTATTACATCCCTGAAGTCATCTGTGACAATCTGAATGTGTCCGGCATACACGCAAGCAAATGATTTGAACTTTCTACAAAATGTATTGAGGCGCATGGAGACAACAAAATAAAATCGTATTACCTTCTCTGCACCAACGTACATAGAACGACAGTCTGGACACACTCGTTTAATGAAGGAGCGGATGGAAGGAAGGGTGATGCGAACTTTGGCAAGAACGGCATTCTTTGCAGCACACTTATTCTTCGCTTCTTCGAAAGTTCCCAGATTATCATCTCTGAATAGATAGCAGTGCTTGAAGTTGCCATACCACCCTGGTTTGCAAAAATCTGTAAGAATATCGAATAAGATCATCAAATCATGGTTAAATCATATTTTACAGTCTGCACGCTTTGATGAATTTGAACAGCTGTCTATTAAACAATATAAGTAGGGACATTTTTATACAAGCAAAATAAAGTCACGGTTTTTAAGCCGTAAAAAGACGGCAATACAAAATTCACGACTAATTAAAAAACAATGAAAAATTTACGACTAATTAGATCCGATCCGTATTTTTGGACAATTATTATTTGTTGAAAAACAAAATATCTTACTGATGTTAAACAAAATCTAAAGGCAGTTAAATTTTCGGTTTACAAAATTTAAACAACTGCCGTTGCTCTAGCAATAATGACGTTTCAAGACAGTGAATATTTTGGCTTTAAAGTAAGAAGAGGCATCGGTGAACCTAAACTTTATTTCATAAAATGATTTCTCTTAGTATACTCAATTACCTTAACAATTTAAAAAAATTCTCTTGAGGAAAAAATAAAATATCATAGAAATGATCAAATTTATATAATTTTTGCTCAACAGATATTTTTTTAAATTGTCAAAATAACAATTGAATATACTAAAGTTTTAGCAAATATTGCTGCCCAGAAAAATGAAGTGCCCTTTTGAAATGACTGCCCCCGCCGCTTCACGTTGCTTCCGGCGCCGTTGCCCCCCCCCCCGCCTTTCTCGCTTTTTTTTTTGCTCGACGGTGAAGGACAAATTGCGAAACTTTCCCTATTTGATAAAAGTTGGCGGAACACTCAGCCTCGTACGCCTATGTCTGGCATACTATTATTGTCGTGTATCTGAAATGGATACCGACTGCGATAAAAAAGGGCTTACCAATATTCTTTTTCAAACACCAAGTATTCTTCAGTGTAGTTACTTTATTTGAACAACAACTATGGCTGAAATAACCAGTATGAGTGCTTCCACCATGGCAATTACCATTGTACTCTGGATAACCAAGACCTCCTGCGCTGTTCCATGCACTAAACAACAAAAAACATATTAGGCCAGGGTCAAACGTCGAACTTTTCATGCTCCAAACCTAATGCAAATGAAGTGAAAAAGAGAAATTAGCTCATTAACATTAGGTTCGGCACACGAAAAGTTCGACGTTTGACCCTGGCCTTAGAAAGGTAGGAATTGTGACAGGCTGCAGTAGAAATATATGTCTCAGTTGCTGATCATAACAAGTCACGTTTTGGTTCAAAAGTTGCGAATAGTTCATTGCTGAATCCTTTTTCCAAGCATATAACAAACTATTGCCGCCTAGCCTGTCTTCTTGTTGATATTCTTCGAATCTTGACTGCACGTGCAAGATGTTCGTATTCGGAATATGTTTTGTAATTATATTTCGTGTATTGTCTATATTCCAAAGATGATAGTTAACTGGGTATGAATATGACCAAAATCAATAGGTTTTTAAACAAATATTAATTTAACAGCTAGCCAGGTATAAATTCCAATTTAAACTCAACTCGAAGCACATACGCAGAACAGTGTCCATACTCTGCTTCACTTGCTATTCGACCAATATCTTCTTTCGATGGTTGAATGGCACCAAATTCCTTACACACATTCTTTGCTGTTGCATGATTAAACTCGCCTTCGACTTGAAAAAGTTCGTTGTTAATTATCCCAGCTCCATGAAACTTGACCATTCCTCCATATGGATCTAAAAGGAATATTTAATAGGTACACTCGGACCTCTGATATACGAACACTGAAGAGGCAGTGTCCGTATTATATATACTATATATATATATATATATATATATATATATATATATATATATATATATATATATATATATATATATATATATATATATATATATACACAGGGTGTATAAAAAAAAGCGCAAACCTCGACTGAAATGTAAATTGCTAAACAAATAATAGACGAAAACGTTAAAGTTTACATTCATTTTAAAGCGTATAAGCCATTCAGCTTTCCAACAGTGGGTTGTTTCTTAAATTTGACTCATTGGTTCGCGGGTAATCATACTTTACGTTATTGCGATTGGAGATTACAAAACTTGAAATGGAATAACAATTGAAATCGTTCTCATGAAAATAACTGATTTTTTCATTAAAAGAAAAAAATGTTGCATTTTATTAAATGAATTGTAACAATAAGTATAATTACGGCCTTTCTTCCATTATTTTTTACTCAGTTTGAAACTTTAAATGCAATATAATTTTGGCTTGGACCATCTAAGCTGACTGACATCAACTTGCTATAATTTCTGTTTACATTACATCGCAATTCGATGACACTCTGGCTCAGACACCAGAATGTTTGGACGATTTTTAGCATTCGTTTAGGATTTTCGAACAACCTGGTCTCTTTTAAAATACTTTTAATTTGTTCTTACGTGGTGTTCCAGATGCAGTGACGACAACATTAAAGTTTAAAGAAGAAAATTCTAACATTTAAACCGGCTAAACAATAACATAGTAAACTTGCATAATTAAACAGCAACTAAAAATGATAGGTTTTACTAAATCTTTTTCTGTGCAATTATTACTAGCATTGGAGACAAGGATAATAATTTGTTTGAAAGAGAAAAGAACAGGCTTTGAAGTAAGCCTAAAAGCGTTTAACTAGAAATAGTATTTCGAAAGTTATTAAGCACAAAAGATGAATTGAATTGTATATATATATATATATATATATATATATATATATATATATATATATATATATATATATATATATATATATACAGGGTGTATAAAAAAAACTGAACAGATTTGAAATTGCTCTGAATTTTGCAAAACACCTATTTGTATCCGATTTTTTATATATATAGCTTCTTTGTGTACTTATAATGTAGAATAATAAAAAAAAATTCTCGAACTCAAATTTTGTGAACCAGGGGGGGGGGGTGTCTTTTCCAACAAACTAAAAATGGCTCGCGCACAAAATTTAAAAGCTGAAATCATATTTTGAGTTAACAGATGGAAAATTTGTGGGTTTTTTAATTACTGTACAAAATTTCAGACAATTTGGTTTAGTTTAAGCCCCTTTAACTATTCATTTTGTTCTAAAAAGTCAGCCTTTCGCATGCTTAATTAATGCATTTACCTAATTTGCATATTGCTGACACATGCAAATTAGGCAAATGCATTAATTAAGCATGCAAATAGCAAATTTTTAGGAAAAATGTAACTTTGCGTGAATAGTTAAGGGCTTAAACTAAACCAAATTATCTGACATTTTGTACAGTAATTAAAAACCCGACCAATTTTCCATTTATTAACTCAAAATATGATTTCAGCTTTTAAATTTTGTGCGCGAGCCATTTTCAGTTTGTTGGAAAAGACACACCCCCATGGTTCACAAAATTTGAGTTCGAGAAATTTTTTTCATTATTCTTCATTATAAGTACCCAAAGAGGCCATATATATAAAAAACCGGATACAAATAGGTGTTATATATCTGTATTAGACAGGTCTCTGAAGTAATTATATTCAATAATAAGCAAAGAAACACTGTCTTAAGTCCCATTTTGATAGGGATTTTTTTGCGTTGGAAGTGTGTTATTGATATACAGGATGATGAAGTTAAAAATATTTTTCGGAAGTTTCCTCTGAACGGATGGCCATGAAGAGTTGAATCTGGAATTATTAACACTGGAAAAGAAAGAACTTTGCAAAATTAGGTGGTTTTGATGTCTTCGTTTTCTTTTCTAACCACTTTAAAGAAGTATTTTGTGCTTTTGTAAATGTCATACTGTATGTTCTTGTTGCATGGTGCTTGTAACCGTTTATAAATTGTTAAAAGCATTGCTAGTCCGCGGCTTGCACCGTCTTTAATGAACTTTGAAGGTGTATATACATGCAATCACAACCAGATAGATTCAAGAAGGAGATCGTGCACTTGAACTGTGTGTACATGGTTAAATTTAATATAGCCATTTGGGTAAATATTGTTGTAAAAGTCCATGCAAAGGAAAACATTTCTATATACAATATTACTGGATATATATTAGAAATAGATGACCCGATGTCTGTAAAGTAGGTTACCCAGGGTTTTTTCAGGGATTTTTTAGTGCCGTAAAACGGCCCCAAAAACTCAATCTTGAATTGAGTTTTGAAACACAATCTTCTCACCAAAGTTTCAGTGCAGTAAGAATGAAGTTGTTTGAGTTAAATTCGTGACGTGTGGAAATTAATTTTCAGGTGGAAACCCGACAATTAAGAAAAATGGCTGGAATTCATCTCACAACACAACGCATTCGCCATCTTTAACCAGTTTATAGTGTCCCTTAGTGCCCCTGCTTTAACACATTCAACCCCCCTGGTAGGGTAGGGGGGGGGGGGGTGCAACCATCCCAGCTGTTCAGCTAAATTCAATCTTCTCTGCAAAATCGGACCCAAGAGAAAATCCTGAAAAAAACCCTGGTTACGAGCAGAAAGCGTTTGCAATTTCCTTCTCATCCGTAGTCGTAATTAGTGTACTCGCAAAATGAATTAATTTTGCTTTGTTTTTTGAGCGGGTATGCCTTTTAAATTTCTTTCCAAGAATCGTTTGGCGAATTACGCCCGTATTCTAAAAGCTCACTCACACTCACACTCAATGAGTGGAGGTTCAATCTGAGCTTCTCTTGAGCGCCAACGCTGTTTTAGAATAGCTGGAGCGCTAGTGTCATACCTTACTATGTGACTGCTAGCTCACCCTCCAGTTATTCAAAAACAGCATTGACACTCAACAGAAGCTTGGATTGAACCTCCACTCAGTGAATGTGAGTGTGAGTGAGCTTTTAGAAAATGGGCGTTAATTTGTGTTATCCTGAAAAGCTTCACGTTGGTAATTAACTTTACTTATTTGTATAAGAGCCGTCGTGGTATTTCGCAGCCTACGATAGGTGGACCAATCACTGTCCATGTCACTGTCCATGTCACTTCTCTCAGTGTACTCAATTATTTTTGACACTAAATAAAATTTTTTCAACTAAATAAAAAATGTGCAACATATTGACCTATATTGTGAATTTTCCATTCTAAAAAAATCGTATCATACCACCTTAATAAAGCAGTTACGATGTACAAATTTTACTCACTGTATTTCTCGCAATATTTTCCAGCATAATTAACAGTGCAACGACATTGCCAAGTTCCTTCTTTATGATTGCTGGCACATCTAGCTCCATTGTGACATATCACACCCTTGCAAGCGCTCTAAAGAATTGATTTAAAGGATGACGTTTATGTATAGGCAAAAACAGTTTAAATTTGTTCTTATAAAATTTTGCGAAAAGTTCATTTTACATTAAATCTAAGCTTACCGGGTGGGAAATAACATACATACGTTATTTAGTTATGCAATTAACAATTCTACAGCTAAAGATACAAATCTTCAATTATTTTGTAAATATATAAAAATAATTCAATAATTAAAAATAAAATTATGAAGCGTTTCTTGTTACTATGGATACACTGATTGTCTAAAATACTTCACGTAACATTAAAATGTGGGAAGTATAATTATTTCGTTTGACCACAGAGACCTAGGCTCTAGATTTCCGCGCCCACCTGTGACTTCCTAAAAATGAGAGAAGGCAGGAAGGCCCCAGGGAAGATTGCGATCAAAATAGCCCAGACTTGGCATATGTCACACGAAATTATACTCGAATTTTCGCCTTTAAATACATTTCTTTCAAGATTAATCGATATCCCATACAAGAATGATACCGTACAACTTTTAAAACAACGATGCTTTAAAGGGATACAGCAATATATTTTTTATTATTTTATTTGAAAGAACTTTTAAAATTATACGTAAATCTCTTTTACCGATTTTGAGTAACTTTATTATTTCTTGAGATATTTCAACAGAAATAATCACAAATCAGCGAGCTTTCCGCCATCTTGGATTTTGGCGGATATGCATGTGACATCATAAGCAGGGTCACGCACGAATTTTATCCATAGAGCAATTGGTTATTATGAGCCCAAAATCATATACTTCAGTAACTATTTGAAATAAAAAACTGTCTGACGACTTTTCAAACAAGGCTTACCCTACCCCCCGCGGTCGAGCCCGCAAAAGACCCAGGCTCTATTTGCCCGGCCTATGGCGTTCTGCGTGCATCTATTTCCAGGGCGGGTTGGGGGCATCTATATTTCCTAGAATCCCCTGGAAAATCGTAAACAATCAGTGCCATTAAAAGGTAGGATACACAGATCAGTAGGTTGTTTTTGCAAATAATTGCACAATTTAACATTCCAAACACCCGCTCCCCTATTTCAAAGTTGTTTAGTTGCCCGGAGAGTTAACAAAAACACAATAGAACACAAACACGTCATTAAAAATATTATCATTGACTTCTCACAATATACAACAGGATTATGACAGGCCGACGGTTATGTATAGGTTATTTTAAGGCAACGAGGTGATATGTGATTTATTCACCGAGGCGCGCAGCGCCGAGGTGAATAAACACATATTCCCGAGGATATGGATAACGTACTTATTTTTCACATTGCGAGGTCGCGTTAATGAGGCAGAATAGAAATAATTCTTAATGCCATATTGCCTTCGTTATGTTGTTTTTTTCTCAGTTTTTGTGCTGCAAAGACATTATAGGTGAATATTATACCTCAAATTCAAATTGTCCAATAAAAAAACAGCATTTGTACCACGTGATAATGTGATTTTTTACGGTATTTCACTCAAATTCATGATTTCCCAATCCAGCGTGGGATACTATAATATCCCACGGAAGATCCACCGTGGGATATTATAGTATCCCACGCTCACGCGTGACGCGTGGACACCACGCTCTGAAACAATATGGCGTTCGCGAGCTGTTGTTTGTAATTTCGTATTTTCGTACAGAATATTTGATTTAACGAAACATTTTCAAGACGCATTTTGCCTTTAATGATCCAAAGGATACATGCTTAAATATTTAAAGAGGAAACGTCAAAAACTCAGGTATACATAAGAAATTAAAAATTGTATTCGCGTAGTTTAATATTAATATTCAGCAAGTTTTAAAGTTTATTCTGAACTTAGTGAGTTCTTTAACCTTCGGTATAATATATCATTTATAGACCTTCCGCTCGGAGGATTCGACGTAATATTTCCCCCAGTGATGATATTTTCCTCGGAGCAAAGCCCCTCGGAAAATATCATCACTTCGGGAAATATTACGCCGAATCCCCCTCGCTCCGGGTCTATAAATATTAGAGGGGATCATTAAACGGAAATTGATTAGAGAGGAATATTGAATATATTCCCCGATAAGCACAAAGGAAACCGAGCAGGGTGAAAAACAAGTTACTGAAATAGGCTGCAGGGAGGGGTAAAACTCTCAACTATGCATGAATGAGGAGAAAGAAGAGGGCGATAACCGGATAACCCCTCAAGAGATAAGGTTTATGTTATATATTGTTATGTGGCTGGAAACAGTTGTTCTGCGTAGTCAATATATTGCAATTTCGAGATTTCTGATTGTCAAATATTCCTCAGAATTTAGAAATGCCACTTTCCTTGGACCCACCGAGAGTTTATTTAATCTCCCTCCAATCACTTAATAGCTTACGGCATTTTGGCAACAATAAGGTGAGCTAAGGAAGAGTACAACTTTCAACGATCTAAACACCTTTCTGGTAGTCGTATCTAACACCTTTCTGGTAGTACCCAATCAGTGTCCGATTACATTTTTAGTCAATATCATGTGGTCAAAACAAAGAATCGTAAAACCACATGAAGAAGTACTGTAGATAAAAAATGGCGGGAGAAATAATAAGTTTGTTTGGTGTTGCGTACGTAATTCTGCCTTTGAGCGCCGAGTTGCCTGCGAAAGAGGCTACTTATTATGGTTCACGTCCAATAATTATTAATTACTGAAATCGATGTGTGTACCTTGATTTCGTAATATTCGCTGCCTGCCTGTTTCTGAAACGCCAGTTCGGAGTCAGCGGCATAACGATCGAGCTCGTTGAGTTCACACAGCGTCGTACTTTCACTTTTCTTGTGAAAATTCAATGAATGACAAGCTTTATTTTTCCTGCACTCCGAAATACAGGTTAACACATTGACATTTTCCACAGTTCTGTAAGTGGCATTTATTAATGTGCATCCCGGAATGCGGTCAAAATTGATCACGCCAAACTTGTGGCCGTTGCGGATCATTCCTACTTTTATTTTCGTAGATGCACTGATAACTAACTGGAGCGCGGATTGCGACATATAGAAATAAACGAGGAATGCGGGTAATAAACTTGAAAATGTCTGAAAAATAAAGAGCATGCATAATGGTTAGAAGATAATCAACCATATTTGTGAAATTCTAATAATGATAGCGAACACCGCTACCTTCAATAAGTTGTCGCAGGTAAAATTCAATATCGTCGGAAATAGATCTAGACCGCGGCACATCCACTACAAACATTATGCCATTAAAACGCATGCAGGAACGTAACGAGCTAAGGGATATGAGGGGTTGGGGTGATGGGGTGGTTGGAAACTTCCATAAATAGTCAAAATTTGACATAGCTCTAGGGACCAGTCTGGCATTATTGCAAATTTCGTGACCCTTCCAATGTTCTTAATTAACAGCGTCGAAACGTGAACGTTTGGTATCCTCCCAAGACACAAATTCAAAACTGAGTTGGAGAGTTTCGACTTAGGAAGCGCAACCTCATTTTACATAGAATATAAGTCCATGATCCTACCCACGTTATAGAGCCAAAAGGATGCCGCCGCGTATGACTCAGAGTGTAACTAACGTATGGCTCACGCATTGCAAATATAGTGAAATAGGATAATACTGAATGAATCGCGCCGGTTAATTTACATAAATACAGATACTTACTTATAAGAATATTTTATTTCATTTTAGACATATATACACAAATTTAGTATGCTTTATTTCTAACGTTTTCAAGGTAATATCGTAATATTACTTCCAATATTTGCTCGTGCTCGTTTGATATTGGCATATGCATGGAAATTATTTCTCTCTTCCCTAAATCGTCCTCTTCATGACAAGCATCGTCTAGTTGCCCCATAGATATCTTATATACACTAGATAGCGCATCTCATTTAGTAAAATTGAAGCCAAGAATATTCCAGCGGTTACCCCCATTTGAATAGATGGCGGCCATGTTTGTCGTTCCCACTTGCTAATAAACGCTTAAAAACAACAATAACTTTCATTATTTGAATAGTTTAAAAACGTATTTGGAATAGGGTTAACTTAATGTTTAATTTCCCTGTTTAGGAAATAGAAACATACGAATCTTCTCATTTCATGGGAACGACCTGAGACTGCAATCACGGCTTCAATTTTTAAATTGCAGAATAATTAGATGCACTATCTAGTGTATATAAGATATCTATGAGTTGCCCCGATTGCACGTCATCTGAATCGCTCTCTTCTACGATTACATCATCCAATTCATCATTGTTTTCATCCGAATTCTCTTCCACATCAGTGTCATTTGTGTACCACTATGGTACGTCTTGTTGCACCGATTGTCTATCATCTGAATTACTCTCATACGATAACATAATTACCT